ATAGAATATATAACAAAAGAATAATCAAAAGAATCTTCTACTTATCAAACAAACGAATTTAATTTCCTTTCAATTTAATTTGTAGTCATATCAAGAATACTTTATGAAATGAATCTGTTCGATTAACGATAGCAGAAAGTACAGCATTAGTGAATCTAATAATTAATAATTTTATTTATCAAATTCTTTTTTTCTATCTTTAATTTTTTAATACAAATGTCTGAATATAATTTTGTAAAAGCGAACATGACAAGAACAGATAATCATAGGTGACAGGAAAAGTCACATTGGGCGTAAAAGAAGCTTATATTTATACTTGAAACACTTTTTAAAAAAAGACGTGTCGATGTCGTCCGAGATAGTTTGGTTAAATTTCATAAATGTTCAAATGAATCGTTATTTTCCATACCCATTTATGATATTCGGTACTATTGGTCTGATATTGAATGTTGCTATATTTACTCGACAATCTCTTTGTAATAATTCATGCGTACAATATTTATTATTTAATACATTATCTAATTTTATTGTATTGTATTGGGTTGTTACTACAAGGATTGTATCTGATGGTTATGGAGATGATTTAGGTCTTCGTTCAGATTCATTTTGTAAAATAAGATATTTTTTAACTTACTATTCAAGAACATTATCAACATGGTTTATTGTTCTCGCATGTATCGACAGATGGTTATCAAGTATACAAGCAAAGCAACGTTTTAATAAAGTATTATTTGCTCGTCGAGTAGGTTTCATTACATGTATCATATGTTTTATATCATATGCACATATATTGTTTCTTTTTGGCATTCAAAAAGATCCTGTTTCATTATCAGTAACATGTTACGCATTACCTGGAATATATCGTCTTTTTTCCGATCTACAATATTTAATATTTTATGCTTTAGCACCACCAATTTTTATGTTAATCTTTGGAATAATTACATTGAGAAATATACGACGAAATCGTCGTCTTGTTATACCTTTAGGTATTACTAGAAATCAAATAAAAAATAATTTAATAAAACGACGTGATAGTCAATTATTAGCAATGTTACTTCTTCAAATATTTGTTATTATTATATTTACTCTTCCCTTTGCAATACAAAAATTAATGGATACCCTCACTTTGCAACTTCAACGAACAGCTGTACAAAAAGCACAATGGAATTTAATCACTGCAATTTTACGTTTATTATCTTATGGTTCACATGCGCTTGGATTTTTCTTTTATACACTTTCAGCAAAAATTTTTCGTGTTGAATTATTAAAAATAATGAATAGAATTTATCTTTGGTGTACTGGTAAAAATTTTCTCAGACCAACCATGATACCAAGTTTAGATGCATCAATGATGCGAAATGGGATAGATGCAACACAAACAATCGATTATCAACGATATCGACAACCGAAATATAGAGCAATGTTTAAAAGACAAAATAAGTGAAGTTATTTTTTAAATAAAGATCTACATTATTGTCAAACTACTATCTAATGTATATATTTAAAATTATAAAAGTATGTTGATTACACTCACTATATACTAAGGGTTTATTTTTATTTATACTAATATATAATATATATGTAATTAAATGTACAACCGCTTAGCAACTATACGCATCAATGAAACTGCGGCGAAGACAACTACGCATATTCAAAATTTTTACGCCTAATTCATTGATATGAATAGATTTTAATGAAAACCAACAAGTTTTATAGCGGTTAAACTAATGGCGTAGTATTGTTGAGATATCATTATCTCGGTAGTGAGATAATACAATGTTTTTGTCTTTTCTGGATAGTTTTTCTATAAGATTATCACACACCTACTGACAATCTGATGAATACGTGGTTTTTATGTTCTATTTCAATCATTTGAATCATCTGGGTTATATTTCTGTAGTATTACTCTGTAGAAATTTGTTCTATGAATAAAAAAGATCTGTGATGCATCGATTTTTTGTACGAAAATACAAATGAATGATATAAATGGTAGATAATAAAATGATCTGCATGTCTTTCAAAATGGATACACGTACAATTTTTAATATAATTCATTATGATGTCCAACTCACTGAAATATCATAGTTTTAATTAAGAATGGAGTGTGTTACTTTGTATAGGTGTACTAGTAGAATTGTGAAACAATAAAAACATTTCGCTAATTAGTCTTTTAACTTGATAAAAATCTGTATCGAGGAAGTTATTTAAATGATGAAGTAATTGTTTTTAATGATACTGAAATTTATTTTCAACAAATGGATTGTGTGAGAAAAATCTCGATTAATCTCCATGATAGTGTTATTCATGTTCTCTTCTATTTTTTAACTATTGAGTTTGTTTTTTTTCTGCATCAATAACGTTCTCTCATCCCCCCTTATTCAACACGAATTACGTATATACTTTTAGACGAAATACAGTCCTTATCGATTGACGTCAAGGTGATTATAGGGAGTCAACAGTAAACAAAAGAGTCACTTATATATATCTACGTACAACTTTTTTATTGAGTATATTGGTAGATAATGCATACAGGATTATTCGTAGCTACTGCTCTTGCTGCTGGTACAGTAGGAGTCATTGCCGCAACTGGTCTTGGTATAGCAGCTGCACGTAGAGTAGGTTCAGCTTACGGTACGACAGTTCAACAAATGTACGAACAACAAGCAATGGCTGATTATTATAATCAACAACCATACTATCAATATTCGGGAGGATCACATTACCCTTATCATCAATCAGGTGCATATTATCAACCAAAATCCTATCATCAAAGTCGACATTCTTATGGTTACTATTAACTATTTTTAACAATTCTATTTGTTTATATATATTCATTTTTACCTTGTACTTAACGAAACGAAAAAACATTAATCTATACTTTCGAAATACATACACTATAAGATTATAAGTTTGAATAAAAACTATTTATTAAGATATAAATCGAATTTAACTAGAAAATAATTTTCAAATTAGATTATACATCAATATAACTTCGAGCTAAAGATTAATTTTCTAATGTACATTGATTAATACGTGTAAAGTTATTTTAATGATTATTCTAAAGTAGAATCATATTTGATTTCTATTTTTCAGATAATTATTCAAGGTTTTTTGATAGTTACCAGTGAAAAATACAAATACAAAACGAGTATTATTACTTACTTTAATATGAATTCAAAATAGAAATGTGTAATCATACCTTATAGATGAACGTGCTTTTATTAGATCAATTAATAGAAAGATTCTTTTATCATTTTGTATTCTTCATTGTGAAAATCTTTATTCTCGTGTTCTACATAAAATCTTATTGTTCAAAAACATATTTCAATCTATTCAATTAGAGTTAGGTTTTCCAGTTTTATGAGAAAACTATTTTAACTAGTATCTCAAGTTTAAAAGAGCATATCACCTGGAAAATTCTAGCAGAATTTTACTTTCTTACCCAATACACCTATGTGAAATACTCTTCATGTCATCAGAAGTCCCTTGAAATTTTCACCAAGAGGAAAAAGTTGTGACAAAAGAAAAGCAGACAATCGAGGTTTCTTTATATAAATAATATTTCAGGAAGGAATCATTCTTCCTGTCTCATTAAAATTTTTGAACCTTTCAATGATCTTATAAATAGAATTTCAAATGAATGTTCCTATTTTTACAAATACTACCGGTGACATTTAAAATCTGATAAGATGGCTAGATATTCTGAACAACAATATATTAATAGAAATCAATTCTACTAGGGTTCTTATATAATCAGAGATGATTAGGAATGAGCAGTATTAGTACAATTACTGAAAAACTGTCAGTAAGTCCACTGGAGCACCAACATTTACCAATCTAGATATATCTAGGACATCAGTAAAAGTCGGCCTTTCAGTGCTCCGGTGTACAGTGTATCGGTGCTGTAATTTCAGTAATAGAGATAACTGTTTTGTTTGTCATAGTTCAACAAACTTTTATATGTCAAGTAAATAAAAATTATCTTCGACATAAATCTTATCATTATAATAAACTAATCTAATTGATTTTTCTCAAAGTTAAAAAGAGTAAAGTGATTTCTTTCTTTTTTTGTCACTAAATTTTGTTGTGTTTGTTTTATTCGATATAAAATCCAACAAAAACAATAACAAGGAAAAGAAGAGAAGACAATATTGATGTTAATATCTTTTCTTCGATCTTTGAATTGTACTTGATTTTTTCGTTTATGAATCGGCTACTGTTACTTCAACATCTACACCTGGTTCAATACTAAATAACAAAAACATAAAATAAAATTCAATAAAAAAAAACTTCAAATCAAATTCGAACCTAATTGATGTAATTTGTTTAACAATTTCCGATTTTGAATGTAAATCAACAACACGTTTATGAATACGCATTTGAAAACGATCCCAAGTTTTTGAACCTTCACCACAAGGTGTTTTACGTGTTGTTATACGTAAAACTTTTGTTGGCATACGTACTGGTCCTTTAACACGTATTTCTTCATCTTTAGCCTTTTGAATTAAATCCGCACAAACTTTTTCAAGAGATTTTACATTTCTTGATGTTAATGTTATACGAATTTTGTATTCTTGTTGTTCACCAGCACCAGCTTGAGCTGGAACTTTACCACTTGTTGGATCTTTTGTAGCCATGTTTAATTAATTCACCAATGAAAGATCTAAAATCAAACCTAAATTCTATATAGCTAAATCGACAGAAAAATGACTTTAATAAACAAGTAGACAAACTAAAAATGTTAAATAACCAATAGAATTTTAGAAGAATATTTCAGTTTATTAAATAAAAAATAATTTTTTTTACGTCAATATTTTTAACAAAAAAGAAAATTTTTTAAAAAAATATCAAAACTTTCAAGAATAATTAATTAATAGATATAAATTAATTATTTCCGTTGATCAGCGACATCTGTTATGTACGAATGGTTTTGTATTATATATTAGAAAAATAATGATTCATATTTATTTGATATTTTTCTACCATATGAAAAGAAGAGCATGGTTTTCGGAGGAGCTCTTGGTTTAATTCTTCTTGGATTTGGTATTATTTTTTGTATTATATGGCTAACAATTCGGTATGAATAAAATGACATACAACAAAAAAGAATTTGTTTATTTATTTTTCTTTTAGTTTATTTTTAATTTATCTTAAATGGTTTCGTCGAATTGATATTAATTTTAGTTCAATTGGTCTTGGTGATATACAAAATCTTGAAATAGAACATCGTTTATTTCATCTTCACATTAAACATGTTAATCTTTTGTCTATATTTTCAATAGTTCTTTGGCGATTACCAATTTTAACAATACATAATGTTCATCTAAAAATTAATTCTCTTACAAATAAAAATCTAACTAAAACTAAACAAAAAAATGATTGGAAAACAAAATTATATTTACTTAAAGTAAAATTCTTTGTTTTTCTCTTGAAATTTAAAGAATATCGTTTTTTTTTTTGTTAAAGTATGTTTCCATTCGAATTGAACAATTGCAAATTGAATATGAAAATATCAATATTACATGTCAACGTGTTTCATTACATCCAGCTACTATACCAAACAGTACAAAGTATGTATCAAAAGTACAAACAAAAAACACGATTAGTTTTATTCTAGTTCGAATACGTCGATTAATTGTGAATATGTTGAATTATCATTTGCTGAGAAAACAGAGAAAATAAATAATGATATATCACCAGAATTATTATTGAAATCAACATGGAATAATATTGAATTACAAACAAATTTAGAACAACGTTTACTTATTGATACAAATCATTGGTCTATTACAATTGATGACAGTCAGTTGTTCTATTTTAGCAAAATAAAAAATTGTTTATAAAAACTTTTTATAGGAATAATTCAATATTTAAAAAAACAACAAGCGAATTCTTTTTCTTCGACTTCTCAACAACAAAAACAACAACAACAACCACAAAGAACATCAAATTTTCGTTATATAGATTCTAATTTATTATCCATGACTCAACCGACACATTCAAATAATCTATTTACTAAATTTGATCAATGGCTTGAATTTCTTCATGATCCATTTCTTAGTATTTCTGTTCGACATTTTGATTTGCAATATACATCTATGTATATTTTGTTAATCGAAATTTTATTTTTATATTTATTTATTTATTTTCATCTAGAGATAATATACATCATTATCATACTCTTGACACAGCTCAATTCTCATTTCAAAACTCATCTACAGTCTCAGTTGAATCACGACATGCATATATTGCTAATTTTCGACTTCATTCTCAGTCAGTACTTATTAATGGTTTATGTCAAGTAACAGTAAGTACTCAATGATAAATGCTAATTAGTTCCATATAGAAAATGCACTACATATTAGATCAAATTAATATCCCTAGAGAATTCAAGGATGCATTAAATAGATCTTTTGTTTGATCACCGAGAATTCTCTATTTCTTAACTTGTATATTAGATCAAAATGTATTGCTTTTAAAATGACCTATTTGTTTCATCACAATAAATTTGCCATAGTTACAACTACGTATTTAAGGTCATAACGACATGAACGAACAAAAAAAACGATTGTCTTATTCATAAATCAATAAAATTTAATTTTTTTTACAGATATTTCCTGTTCGTCTTGATCTTACTTGTCAATTAAATGAACTTAATATTCAATTACATGAACATACTATTCAACAAGTTTATTCACTACTATCCTCTCGATCATCTGCATCATCAAACACGTAAATAATTTGAAAAATTTTATTCTATTTTTTATTAAAATCTAATTCTATTCAGTACATGGATATTGGATCGACAGATAGATATATCATTCCAATTTTTAAATCCGTCTATTCGTTTAAAAATGCTTGATATTGATGAATGGTTCATATGTCAGATGAATTCCTCAAAAATAATCTTTCATTATATTCAAAATTTAGAATCAAAGTAAAAAGCAAAACTTATTATTTCTTTATTTTTTGAGCAAATTCTATTTTAGATCATTAATTGAATTAAAAAATATGCTGATATATACGTCTAATAATCAGGATAACGTATCTTCTGAATCCTTAATTGATAATCTTGATAAAAAACATGTATGGAATTGTCTATTTTATCTTCCAAATGCAAATGCAACTGTAAGAAATGAATATATATACATTTTTCAAAATAAGATACAATGATAAATTCTATTCATAGATATTAATCAGTAAATCGATACATATTCAATCTGATATAACTGGAATACGTTTGCAATCAAATCATATTTTAATTTCTCTTTTAAAACGATTACGAACTATGTCAGTTTCATCAACAAAAACAATACCACCACCAACAAAAACAGATTCAAATCGTTCCATTGAATTGTCTTTATATATGAAGTCTGTTACAATAGTTATTTGTGATACTGTACCAGGTAAATAACAAAAGATAGTTTAATTTTAAAAAGAAAGTCTTTTTTAGTATATTTGTGCTTATCAATATCATCGATACGTGCAACTCGATCACAAGTAGAAATGAAAAAAATTATAACATTCTTTAATAATCAATCATCAGATGATATAGTATGTATTCTTTTATTTGCAATATTTTTTCTTATAGTTATAATTTTATCTTTTATAGCCGTTCGCTTCGTTAACACAAGGTCAGAAAATACTTGAAATTCGTCGTATGACTAATCAACATCTTCTCGTAAATATACATTTGTTTTAGTCTAAAAAATTCAGTACTAATTTTATTTTCTAGACGAATTCAACCATAAAAATAACTGTTTCACATGATATGATATTAGTATGGTCAACTAAATTACATTTGTTTTTGTATCGTTTTATGTCTTCATTAAAATTAAATAATGAAAAAATGAAAACAGTATCAAATGATAATGAGAGCAATAAACAAACGACAAAGAATAATATCGAGTTTAATGTCGATGCATTTGCTCATGTATATTTACAATTATCAAATGATTGCAAGTATGTATAAAATATAATTTTAGCATAATCAGTTGATAATACGAAACAGACGTAGATCGAAAGAGTTTCTAGTTGATCTCTCTCTCATAGAAAATAAATATATGACTATATCATCATGTTCACTAATACTTACACTTTCATAAATCACACTCAAGGTGTAAATCTTAATCACAGGTTTTGTCTTTGTGTTATTTAATTGATTTGATATTATTAGAATTCATTTGAAATTTCATCAATTCTCATCTCAATTTATTCGCCAACATTCATTTGATAATGAAACACAAATGCAATTAAAATGCTCACAATTAATTATCGATTGTCAACAACAATGTATTTTTGTTATAAATGTAAATATTTATTTGAAATTTACATGTATAAATGTTTTTTTTGTAAACAGGATATATTATTTACACGTCTTACTCAATCAAAAGTTTTATCAACAGAACGATTAATATTATTACAGAAGAAAACAGTTGCTAAACTTGATATGCCGCATAATCGTGCTAGTTTAGTTGAAATAAATTCGTTTTCTATACGTTTTCCATTTGATTCAACATTTAATGAGGTTGTTGAAAAGGTTTGTTTTTCAAACTAAAAAAAATTATGTTTAATAATAAATTATTCTTTTTTCAGTTAGTTAATATTCGTAAATGGTTAAAACGTATTCATAATCATAATGGAGATATGTCATCAAAATTTTTAAATGAAATTCCTAAACATAAAATATCAAATGAAGTTTGGACAGATTTATCAATAAAAATCAATGTTTGTTTATTTATTCATTTTGTTTTATTTTAAATGTTTTTCTCTTTCTATAGGACTTCGAATTAGCTATTATTGATGATTTATTTGAAGTAAAATTATTTCAAAATTATTGCGTAAGTAAAAAATTTTGTATTTAAAAATAACTTTTTGTTTTTTGTCGTATTAGTTAATGGCTGATGAATATCAAGAACGTGAAATACGTGAACAAGTCTTACAACAACGTATTGAAGAATCTGACCGTACATCTCAACCATTACATAATATAAATGAATTAAAACGAGCTTTAATGGAAGCAAGTTCTAAAGTATATATAAAACGTAGTCAAAAAACAAATTTTGATGAGAATAAACAACGAATAAAACGTAATTTAATACGTTGGCATTTACAACAAGTTGATTTAATTGCATTAGCTGATCAATCATGGACAGGAAAAGAAAATATATTAAATATAATACATCAAATTGATTCGGATAGTACACAAATTCCATATGATACAAGTGATTTATGTACTATATGGTGTCGTTATGTTATATTAAAATGCGATGAATGGTCAATACATTTTAGAGATTTTCGACAACCATTATGGCAAATGCAACAATTCAATCTTTGGGGACATATTTGTGCTGCAGAAGTTACACCTGATAGTTTAGATTCTATTCGAACACCATGGGTAGAGATTGGTGAACCTTATGAACCAAATCGATTTCGTGTACAACGTCTTCTTTCACCATTGAAATTCTATCATGATATCAATTCAGATATTGATTCTTTTCTTATTTCTTATGGACCAGCTGTAAGTATTTTTTTATATGATATAATAATTGTTAAGATAAAATCTAGATGAGAAATAGCGGGTATAATTACGGAAAACTATTGTAAGATTATTCTATAATTGAAAGGCTTAATAGTATATCATTAAAGTTCTAACAAAGAAAACTATTGTACTTGCCCGACAATATAATTAATCATCTTAAACGAAACAAAAGCCTGAGAATATGCGATGTATTTTATTAAAACTTGCTTACTTTTTATCGTTTCAAATCGGACGACTAAATATTTCATACTGGATAATGGTCAGAAAATCGGCTTATTTATTAAACGATTCTATACCTCGAGGAGCTATTACAATATCATAAAAAGAATAATTAAACAAAGGTCATATCTAAGGTTCAAAGAAGTATTTCTGTTTTATATGTTAATTAATGAATAATTTCGCAAACATAAAATAAAAAATTAAGAATAATATGCAAATTGCGAATGTATAATTTTCTTTCTAGTGGGAAAATACAATGGCACAAGTAAATTTATGTTTAAATAGTATAACACCTCGTACTGTTGATCCTTCACCATTACTTCCATGGTGGGATAAAATTCGTCTTTATCTTCATGGTCGATGGTCATTTGCAGCAAATAAAATGTCATGGCTTTATCATGTTGCATCAAGTCCATATAATGATACTGAAGAAATGGAATGGGTATGGGATCAAGCATTTGTTGATTGGACAAATGGAAAATTTATTATTCAAGCATCAAGTCTTTCGATTAAATTAAGAACAAGTTCAAAATATGATGATTGTTGTCTACTTTATTTACCAAGTGTTGATACAAGGTTTTAAAAAAATATATAAATAAATCACTTTTAAATCAAATTTATTTTTTCGTAGAATTACTCTTAATTGGTTATGTACTGGTAATTCAAATGATCATCATGCTGTTCGACTTGCTACACGTGACGCTGTTAATTCATGGCAAAAGCAGAAGGCAAGTTTAGTCGAATGCTAATCTAATATTCGAATTCGAACTACTCATGTTCAAATCTTCCTCTCAGACTTGTGTGATATGATGTCATTTTTATATTGATAAGTCAGTCTGATATTCACCATGATGTCAGCAAATAAATCTGATCACACATTATGTTTATATAAATCTATGTTTATCATTGTTTTATTTTCTAGCCTCATGATTCTTATACTCTAAACCGTTCAAAGCATTTAAATGCAACAGCAAAATTTGAATGTAAAGATGTACCTGAAGGTGGTATACCACCAACATGTACTATCTATGCTAGTACACTTAGATTTTGTGAACGTGTAAAAGTAAGATAAACAAAAAGAAATCATTCTCTCTCTATATTATATTTAAATATAGAATACAATGATGTCTATTACTCGACCAACACGTCGTGGACCATTATTTTTACCCATAGGTGAACTAGTTGTTCCAGCACGTAAACCACTTCTATCTCGTCATTATGAAGCTGTTGAATTACAATTAATTCTTCCACAATTTCGTGTGAAATATTTAACATCATTTGCACGTCAAACAGGTGCACAAGTTGATTGTCAATTATTTAATTTTGTTACTTATCAAGAATTAAATTTAATTGATCATCATGATGGTCTTGCACGACGTCCAAAAGTTTCATGGAAACCTAAAATGATGAATGTTAATTTAAAACGTGCACAAACATGGTTATTACGAGATGCTAATGAAGATAAAGAATCAAATGAAATATCAAATAAACATGATAATCAAAAAGAATGTCAACAACAACGAACATTTTTTCTTAGTTTAGATAGTTTAATTTATATACGTTCACCATCAACAAGTAGTAAAAGTAGTACACATTCAGTATTAATTGATGAATTAAAAGCTGTATGGAATTTAACTAATCGTCGAACACTTTTTCTCGTTTATGAACGTTATCGTCGAAATAATATTCTTCGATCAAATCTTTCCAATCCATTTGCTAAAGAACTTGAACATTTACAACAAGAAAAAACTCTTACTACACCTTCAGATCAATCGCCAGCAGATGATATTTCAAATATAACATCAACATTAACTTCAGAAGATTTATATTCAACTCAGACATCAACAACTATAAGTATGACAACAAATGGATCAACTTCACAACCATCAACATTAGCTTCGTTCCTCGATCAACTTATTAATGAAAGTCAAAATAAACCAAGTGCAGATCTTGATCCTGTACGTTAGTATTACATAAAAGAAATCCTTTTCTTTAGCATCATATTATCTAACGTATAACATTTGATCTGTAGATATTCACATTAATGATCTTAGTTATAACGAAGATATATCCCTGTGTAGAAGTAAGACAATGAAATTCAACAGTAGATTAGATTCAAATTGTAAACATAAAGATTTTACTTAGAGATTTTAATTGAAATCGACATTCCAATTTCGAATTATGTAATTAATTCACTGAACAGTTAAAGATGGCTTCTAGTTTTAAAATATATCGAAAAATTCTATATTTAAACTATTAGTGCTACTCTCGATCGATTTAGAAGTAAAAGAAAATTATAAACAAGGTGATAATGGTAATTTATATCTGGCTTATATCAACTCAAATATATTGAAATATTGATTTTCAGACATTTATTTATTAATCAACTTCTGCTCAGATTATACTAATATAAAAAGACGACTATTCACTTGATTGATTATATATCCTTGCTAGATGAAATAATTCTTCTAATATGCTCACTATATTTTACTAACACTCATCACTAATCATACAACTAACATCAAGTTTTTATATATCGAAATAGTATTTTAATCAAGACTGTAGTAAATCATTATTTTCATGATTTATATTCATGTCTCGACATTATACTTTTCAAGATTATCGACAATTCTAATTAAATAAATTAGTTATTCTCGAGTTCTGTTGTAAATAGATTCAGTTCTATATATATGATTCTATGAAGGTTTTCTTTATTTTTTATTCATAGAGTGTCGATGCATCTGTATCATTAATTGGTCTTCGTCAATGTACAAAAGATGATGTGGAAGAACATACATTACATATTGAATTAGCTGATAGTCAAATAGCTTTACGTGGTATTGAATCAGGTGGTTATGTTATATTATCAGCTACAGTTGCATTAGTTGATCAATATCGTCATCAACCTGTCTGGCGTGATGAACAGTTATGCGATAAAACATCTTGGCATGGTGATTTACAAGGAATGCAATATTTTTCAACGACAGTATCTTCATCATCACCACCACCAACAACAACAACGACGACAACAAAAGCAAAAGAAAAAATAAATAATCCAACTTCAACATTATTTTCACTAGATGATGATATTATTTGGATTCCACGACGTGATATTCGTGATGAAAATTCTCTTCTAGGTGAATCATCACGAAGTGTTGTTGGAAGTGTAGCTACAAATGATGGTTGTGGTGATCAACAACTTCAATGTATTATATCAAAATCAAATGCAACTTTATCCTATGTATTTTATACTGAACAAACACAACAAGAAGAAGAAACTGATACGAATATTGTTATTCCGGTAATAAATAGATAAGAAAAGTTTTTCGCTTTGAAAAATATACATATCCTATTTTGCGCGATTAACCATTAATATATCATTTAGTAAATTCTTACAACTTTTGTTTGGAACCATTTTTTATACGCAGTAATATGACTAAAAGTAAATCTTTTCGATTCGATAGTAATTTCATTAGAAAATTCACTGAATTGCATAGACGTGATTTGTATTATATTTAATATGATGATTGCTCCTTCTTAATAAGAATAAATTCTATATATTTCTTTTATTTTCCTAGCCATTTACAAAACCATCAATAAATGAATCTAATCCTATTGGTGAAAATGATCGTTTACTCGTTGATTCTTTTACATTTATTCATAATGATATTCAATTATCAACAAATTCGGTTTGTTTATTTTAATAAATCTTTTTCTTTTCTAATTTTATTTATTATTTTATTTAGTCACAATATCGTACAATTATGGATATTGTTAATAATTTACTTTTATATGTTGAACCGAAGAAAGAAGTAAAATAATAACAAAAGAATTTTATTTTTTTCTTACTTTTATTCTATTTAGGGTGCAAATAATAAATTACGAAAGCTTCGTTTAAAAATTCAATTAGCTAATAACTTACCAGTTTTACAAAAAAATATTCGTCATTTACTTGAACGTGTCAGGTAAAATATAAAAATCGACAAATCGTATATTATATTTTCATTAAATAATTATTTAGATCAACATTAGCTGAGCTACGACGACTTGAACGAGAAATTTATTATTTTAGTCGAACTAATAATAATAATTTAGCGTAAATTAAAAGATTTTTATTTTTATATTAAAATAAAAAATTTTTTTTAATTTATTCTTTATTAGTAGTAATTCATATTCATCCGAAGAAGAAGATGGTACTAGTACTGGTCCTGTTCCTGGTCATGGTCGAGAACGTGCATTTTCATTTACACCAGAAGAATATGAACAATTACAAAATTCATATAGTTCAGTTAAAGCTGAATCAAATGAATTAGCAGAAAATTTAGGAATGATGTGTGCAGTTTATAAAGATATGCAATTAGCACGATTAGTCAAACTGAGAATAGCAGCAACAAGTTAGTTAAATATTTATTTTGAATATTTATATAAAGAAAAAAACTATTATTACAGGTAATAAGACTGCTCGATTAGAACGACGATATGAAATTCATGGTGGTTCGATAACATGGTTTATTAAACATGAAGATGGACAAATTACAAATGCACAATTTTTGTTAAGAAATCTTTTGTAAGGAGCATATTTTAAACATTTTTTTTATTATTTATCAATAATATATGCAGCAAGGAGCAAAAGTCTTTGACCTATGGTTAAGTCAACTTTCTGCACGCATGTCCCCGCAAAATAGAGTGAGATCTACATATAGCTATGCAAATTATAAAATCGATGGATATTAACGCTTGTAGCTAGATAATAATTAAAAACATTCTAAGTGGAATGATGAAACAATATCTGCGGAGAAAGTGCTCGACTGGTCGTCGAATAGTTTCGACGTTAATCCCTCAACGCTATGTCGAGAAACGGAAATCATTATACTTCGATGAACTAGGAAGACTTCCGCACAAAGAATAGGATAGAATCGATGAAAGTGCGATGC